GAAGGAGAAGAAACATGGATGGCCCCGTTAAACCAAGAAAGGCGATGGTCTTGGTTTGAGCACTTCGTTTTCTATACCCGAAAGGGAAGCTTACGCAGTTCACCATGTGTCCCAAAATTCTCCCACTGAGATCTTATGGTCGATTATTTTTGGGACGTGGGTAAGTAATCCATCCAGCCGGGTATTTGATCGATAGAATGGCTATGCGCAGATGCTTCCGTAATGATGAGGTATGTATTCCTTGCTCTATTGTTGTTGCCTGTTCTCTGATCCGAGGAAATGCAAAAGGACGACCGTACCGCGGAGAACTTACTCCGTAAACAGTTGAGAAGACTTAATTTTCCCGCGTCAGGTTGATCCGTCTTCCCTTAATATGATCCGTTGGGGATAGTCTACCCTTTGAGTTCCTCTTGGCCAATGTAAACTACAATAGCGCCAAATTAATTTTTGGATCGGTAGCTGCGACAAGACTGAATCGAGGGATGTACGGAGGATGTAGTACTCCGTAGTGCACCTTGAAACTGTTTCTTCCCCCCATTCTGGTAGCTACTGCGAGGTGAGTCGACAAGGTAACCGTTACTAGCGGAGTTGACCGTTCGTAATCGTATTCCAATAGTAGTTCCATAGGAACAGAGAATACTCAAAATTTGAAGAACAATGCCCCTCAACACAATCAGAGAGAACTTTTCAACGAGTACCCCATCGAACACTTGGCATTGTCAGACCCAACACAGGTTGTCCTGCAGCGCCCCTATCCATTACTACAAGTCGCAGTAGTCACAAAGCTGTATGACACCGCATCTGCAGCCATGATTAGGGTTTACTAAAATTAGGAAAATATACGCGCAGTAAGCCAATGGTTTGGAATGGATGTTATTGGATATTCACCACGTCAACTAACCTTACCTAAGACGGTCCACTTGGTCTTCTCGCGTCAGTTGCCTCAGTCTTCAGGCTCATCATATTTGCAGATTAAAGGTGATAGATACTAGTACTACACAGTATGGAACCGAACCTACCGACTATTGGTACAAATAGTGGATGTATTACTGACTAGTACTCCGTACATGTACGGAGTACATAGGATAGGTACCTCTGACTGTATCCGACCTCTATACATCCTCCTACTCCTATAATAGCCGCTTTACCTGCAATGCGCATTTGCTTCCTCCGTACTCCGTAATGCCATCAATAACAGCGCCATACGCAATAGCTAGGCAACAACGCTTCCTAGCCCAAGAAGATTGCGTCAAGGGGGGAAGGGCCAAAACCATCACATCTTCTCAACCTGGTCTCGTTGGTTGAATAGACTGTGGCTCATCACTTTCGACCAGGGGTGGTTGGAGAATCTCGCTGATTCGCTGAGAATTTTGCCCGCCACGCAAAGAACACGCATGACGAGCGCTTATGTAGGGATACAGTAGAGCAGTGGAAGTGTACACTGGTACGAGTACGGCGAAATCTTCGTGCCCATCTTGGGCCTGGTGTTTTATCGGTTCACCGTTCTTTTCTGGAACGATATCAGATTGATCGGTGGCAGCGAACGCCGATGCCGATTGCTCCACAGTTCCCACTCTATGTGCGCCAAACCGCTTACAGCCACTGCCTGCTTATCGAAGCCCCGACGATGCGTCAAATCCGTTTGACTAATGTTTGACCGTGTGCCTCTCATGCAGTCAGCTCAGTCCATCAGACAGGGGGGGGTTATAATCTGCCGGATACTGCCTGGTAGGGAAGTACGGAGGAGTAAGCAGTATGTTAGACGTTTTTCTCTCTATCTCAGGCCGACAATGCTTGTTGCTCCACTTGGCCGCTCCTCTTCTATTAAAGATAGAAACTTACTGTGTACCTACCTTTCTTCCGTCCATTTTATTTATTTTCCCTCCTTCCTTTCAGTCTCTCCGCCCAGCCAACCACCGGTCCCAGATAGTCGCCCAAAAGAGTCAACGGCGGGCTTGTGTTGACCCACTTGATCCATTGCGCATGCAGGAGGCGGTGATATTGGTGGCTTTCCCCCCCCCCCCCGCGGTCTTCAAATCACACCGATTTCTCGTTGGCCAAGTGGATCTTTTTGGCGACTGACAGAGAGCCATTCAGTCTCCTTGGGCCTTTATCTTCTGGAGTGTTTCGATTCATCTGAGGGACGAGGTGGTCTCAATCCAAGAGTTGGGAGCATGAATCTGTGCGTTGCCCAAGTCTACTGGTAAAGATAGCGTCTTGTCGATGGGCAACAGAATCCATATGCCCAGTTTAACCCCCAACCAACAATCCTAGCACGTGTAACATAACCCCATAACGATTGATAACGCCAAGTCGTGGAAAACAGGTACCGCCAACAACAGACTGAGAAATTGAGAATAGCCCTAACCATCGGCGTATTCTTACGTTGAGAATTCCCGCTCGACCATCGTCAATTCCACGCCACAAAGATCGCCTCAAGATTTTCTTGAGTGTCAGTCGCCCTTTCCGGATACTGATAATCAACTTATAGTTGAACCACGGCACCTATTTCAAGTCTCTTCGTAGTTACAGAGCAACGACCCCGCCCCCACCGCCTCAACCCTAGAGGGGTTAAAAAGGCGCAGTTTAGCCAAAAGTTGGCACCCACTCAGTTGCCTGGTAGCATCCCGGAGAACAGGAAAGTAATAGTCTCGCCAATCAATAACTTCCCTATCCATCAGCCAAGGAAAGCCACCTGGAAGCAAAAAGGCGGGGTGAGACGGAGTTTGGAACGGTGGCTTCCTCGCTTATCAGTTCTTCCCAGCAATGGATTCGGAAAGAGGCAGGAATTGACGTCACCCAGAGCATGAGCAGTGCGGAGGTCCTGATGCGGGGAGGGAAGTCGTAGGGAAAAGGCACGTCCATGGCACTCTACTGTTTGGAGGAGGAACTGATGTGGGAGATGTTACAAGCATCCTCAACTTGACTAACATATCCCCCCAAACTTATGAGAAATGGGCTCGGCACAGTAATCGCAACGGGGCCACGTTCTCAACATCAGCGATCAAGTCACTGCGCATTGATCACTGCTCTATTCTATGGATTACAGATTACATACGATTAGTGACATAATCCTTGAGCATCCCCTCCCGCTTCAATTACCTCCCCACAAGCGATATCAACGTCCTAGATGGTTGGCGAGATGGCCTCGCTGTAGGTCCTATGGCCCGCCTCCAGGAAACCAGTCAGCTGCACATCAATCTCCAAGTCGCCCAGTCGATTAAAGAAGGAATAAGAAAATGAAGTGGGAGTGTTAAAAAGCTCCCCCCTCCCAATTTTCACCACTTCAATCGGATCACCTTGTGTACCAATGCATGCGACAGGATTGCAAACGGTACTAGTTCAATGTATACCCCAAAAAAGGATCCAAAGACGATCACTGTGCTCCCATCATTGCCGGACGCTATGTAGATCTCGTGATCCCAAGCTTGGTCCGCGGGTGTTTTACATCTCATCGGACTTCAGGTGCCGCAGCGGCGGCGAAATCCCGGTTCAGGTTGGCCGTATCGGTTCCCGCGCTGGCCCTAGACTCGAATAGCCGGATCCACCATCCTGGAGGATCCAGGGGGCGGTGGCCACCATGAAGAGACGGATAGACATCATTGAAGAAATACCAGATATGACCAACGACCACTCCACAAATCTCGTCTTTGGGCACGATGCCGTGGACCACCAAGCTGAATGCCATCAATACCCAGGGAAGATACGGAGCCGTGAAAACCAAGATACCAAGGAAGCTGAGGCGGGTGTCAGGGTTGCGGCGACCCCAAATATACACCAGACTGGAAGAGAGGGCTGTGCCCAGGAAAGGAAGAGAGAGGAACGGGGAAAGAAGGAGGAGGGAGACCATAGCGTAGAAGAGCAACCAGGAGAAACGAGCTGGGGATCGGCCGGACGATTCTTCGAGAAGGCGTGAGTACCGCTGCAGGAAGAAGACATGGAACAGTAGGTCTAGACTAAGCGGTCCGAAGTAGAGAAATGTTGTAAGAAGTCGCCAGTACTGCGATACGGTCAGCGTCTTGCGCTCACCTCTTTATGCGACCCGCCAAACTCGCCAGTGATATACATACCTGGGACTTGACATAGACCGCGCGAAAGCTGTAAAATAGCTGGAAAGGAGTCAAGATATGACACTGCACTAGTACAGATGTAGCTACAGTGGCTACTGTCCACCAGCGCGTCACCGGGGGCATTTCATAGAACCATTGTTCGAGGGGAAACTGCCCTGGTTGGCCCCCATTACCCCAGATGGCGGCCATCACGCTGGAAGTTATTTAGAGTCGCGGGCCGCCAGACTATTGCAGGATGATCGCTGAAAGGCAATTACGAGCGGTGTTGACCAGTAGAATAGGGATGCGAGAAGGATGACGGCAGGACGGTGTGGACAGCGATAGCTATCAAAAGGTGATCAACGGTCGGCTGCGGAACAGACAATATATATCCCGGCACTATGAAAGGCGGAGACCAAGAGCTCCAGGTGGCCTTTTCCACTTTTAAGGGCGGTGGCATCTGTCACCGTCATCACGTGATTTCCTGTACGGCAGCCGCGCGCTTGTGCGAGGAAGAGACACGCTACGCGTTAATCGGAAGGCTGGGCAAAGCGGCGCATATCAGAAGCCCAGGTCGGCTATCGAGTGCTTCCAACCACCCAATTTCCCTATCTGTGGACCTCTTTTGAGCAGTGAACCCCTCCTCACAAGACTGGGCCTTTCCCACGGCTGTCGTCTGCCACAATTGGGTGACAAGAGGGGTTACGCCTTAACCCAAAAGAAATCTAAGTTCTTGTTCTGAAATTTTGCATACGTCGGCGCAAAAACAAACAATCTGAAAGAGAGAGAGAGAGTGTGTGTGTGTGTGTGCGTGTGTGTGTGTGTTTGTGAACTCCAACGACTGGGTCGCATGGAAATCCGCACCTGTACAATTTTCCCTCACATCCCAACTGACTTACTTGTACATTTATAACATAGTCCCTTTCTAGTCGCCCAAGTCTTGTCATCACCATGCCACCGAAGACAGGAAGGGGTCGCAAGGTAATCGCCGCACCGCGAGAAAAGGCGGACGATGCCGGAAAAGAAAGCGCAGCTGCAGGATCATCCAGTGCAGCTACAACAACCTCGCCTTCGACCCGAGGACGCAAGTCCACTGGAGGCGGCAGAGCGGGGAAGCGACCGGCTGGTGCATCGAGAAAATCAGGTATCCAACGTATGTGGATCTATCAACCCTCTTCATTCGGCTGTCATCTCTAAACCCACGAGCCGATCATACTGATATACTGCTAGCTGGCGATCCTACCCCTCAAGGCCGTCATCGCCGTTACAAGCCGGGTACTGTTGCCCTCAAGGAAATCCGCAAATATCAACGCTCTTATGACCTCCTTATACGGAAACTCCCATTCGCAAGACTTGTGCGCGAAGTCGCATTGGATCTACTCCCCGCAGATGTGGGATCCGAATTGCGCTGGCAATCGCAAGCTATCATGGCGCTGCAAGAGGCCGCGGAGGCCTTCCTTGTTCATCTATTCGAGGACACCAACCTGTGTGCTATACACGCGAAGCGAGTGACCATCATGCAGAAGGACATCCAACTTGCTCGGAGAATCCGTGGCGCATGGGGTGGATTGGGCTGAACGCGCGCTTGTCCTCGAGGCGCAATTAAGAGAAACAAGCATACGGTGGAGAGAGCACCTGAAGAGTTTGAATCTCGATCATTATAATTCCGTTGTTGTCTAGTTTTCCACAATCTTGGCATCCTCTTTTATATCTAACGGCAATTTCCTCCCGAATCTTACTGGTTGGGGTATAGGTTGCAGGCGTATGGTCGGTTATGGAGTTATGTCCAGAGCAGGTCTTCTGAATTGTTTGTGTTAGGATTACCATTTGTGATTTATTGTCCATGTCAAGGCCGCAGGGTCTGTCAGTGTGGTGTAATCCGTGTATAATAGAACATGGGTGTCTGCGGAGAGGATTTCTTCGCGTTTTTGGGGAAGGAGGTTAGGAGAAGCTGTATACTTCCCTGAACGTCATCATCGCATACCTAAAGGAAGGAATCTTAATTCTATTGATACGAACCCTAGCAGAACCTATATACGCTAGGTAGCATACGTAGCGCTCAGCCAGGTACTAAGCAGCAGAACAGGCCAAGCCATCGAGATAAGATGCTTTTGAGGCACACCTTGTTCTAGGGTATACGGTATCGAATCACTCGGTGCCCGTCAAATTTTGACTACTTATTACAGTGGGATGTCAAAAGTTTGAAACCATCCATTTATTGCCCAGTTTAACCGCTTTCCTAATTTTACTATTCTGTGTGGCAGAAATCTCGCAAACTCCCTCCCTGGGTCTTAATAATTACTATACCAGCTATCTAACTCAATAACTTATATCTATATCCTCTCTAGAAGCTATAATTTAATGTGTAGATAGAGGTGTGTAGGCTCAAGCACTGAATTTGATAGGGTTGAAATATAGCGGTATGTTAGGCGGTCAAGCGGATAGTTTCAAACTTTTGGCATCCCACTGTACGGCAATGCAGAGAGATAGCAGAGATTATGTCAGGATATTCTAAATTTAGTATCCTCAAAAGCACTGGCACTATGAGAAAGAAGATGGTTCTCAGAAATGAAATGGCAGAGAAAGAAAATAACCCCCAAAACACAAAAAATTAGATGAAAACGAAAATGGCCTCCGGTTTCATGAATAGAATCCTTCTCAGCGAACTCGATTGAACCCTGCATATCTCTGTTTCTCCCTCTTCTCTCTTCTCTTTCGGGATGTCTCCATTAGGCAAGCAGGTCAATTAAGACGTTTTTGGTGCTGATTAAAGCAGTAACATGGTCAGGAATTAGAGAGAGGGCTCATCAAGCGTAGTCGACCCGCACGCTTCCATGGTTCTTACCCTCATACCAGAGGGTATATTCACAGTGGGCAGAGAAATAAGTTGCCTGTATTTGATAATGGATTTTGTAATACTTTTCTCTATCATGACCAAGACGCACTGGGATGCGAGCCCTTTCAATTGCATCCAAATCTGGATTCAGAACCGCATGCTTCTTTATGCCTGACAAACAATAGTTAATAGATGTAGACTGCAGTTTCCACGCCAGTATCTCTGAGTCTAAACTTACGGCGATTGAAGTAAAAAGGGGGGGCCTCTTCGACAGGGGTATCCAGCTCATAAATGTTGACGCAGATTGAGTCAAAGCGCCCATCGCTACACAGTCGGTGCTCAGACCAGAAGGTCACAATTGGCTCGGCTTCTTTGATCTCATCTCCCTGGAAAGTCCGTTAGTGGTTACTATCTCAGCATTTTGCATATTATCGCACCTTCCGAATAAACCATTTCATAACTTGAATGCGATAATGCCCATAGAAATCACTCCAGTATCTAGCATTATTTAGTTTGAAGGTAAATTAGAACCTTGTACGGCGTAGTTGCACACACCTTTTCTTTCGGTCGTGGATATCACTCTCATACTTCGTCTGGGAGATCATCCCATAATGTTTTCTGGCCACCCGCGACTCAACTGAGGCTTTGGTCGCTAAAGGAGATATCTCCCCAAGAGACTTCACCAAAGCGCCCCTAACAACGGCAGTCCACCCATCAACTGGAGCCAGTACTTCCATGTATTGAGGAAGAGCATCGCGAAGATACCTGCGAAGGTACGGACTCTGTCCCAATCCCCCAACCAAGAATATTGCTTTCACTCTTTTCTTCGAGGTCTTCACTTGGTTATCCACCAGATGATGAACCTCTTCGAGAATGGGCTTAAACAGGTCAGCCATCTCCTGTCCGCTTACCCTGAGGCGACCTCGATGAACATGGATGGCGCTGTCATCTGCAATTCCGGGAACAGGTATCATAGAATCCTGGGTTACATCTCCACAGAAAGTTCTCTTGATGACCATCTCGAAGCGTTGCATTGCTTCGTCTAGTGTATCACGGCCCCATCCTGGGATTGAGGATAATCGGCTCTCTAGGAAATTTTCAAATCGCCTATTCAAGAAAGTACTGCCACAGAGTGAGCCATCTCCGGAAGCTTCTTCTTTAAGACGCAGATTAGGCTCCCGTTCAACGATTGAAAATGTTATAAGATCAACCGTACCACCGCCCGCATCGCAGAGAACAACAGTATCGCCAACATCTAACCCATGAGGATTAGATACACTCAACGCATGGATTGCAGCGGCTTCAGGCTCAGAGATTAGACGTATTGTACCGTTTTCACCAAAGCCTGCATGTTCTGCACATCGAAGTGTGGTCACCTTGGCTTTGTCGGGCCACATTGCTGGAACAGTTAGAACAAACTCCAGGCCCATACCGTCGAATGAAGAGCCCATCTTGGACTTCAAAGTCTCGGTGATATGCATATGCAAACACCGGAGGTAGTCTGTCGCCACATCTTCACACGAAGAGTGGTATGGCTCGGGGACTCGACGGCAGTCATGGTATTTGGAGGAAAGGCGTGAAGCCAACCCAAGTTTCTGATCAGCAGCAAATCCAAGTTTGATCCATTGAATACGGGGCATGCTATCGTAAATCTGGAACCCCCACAAACAAGTCGGCCCAGATTCCCCGTACTCAAATGCGACCTCAGTCGGTACTTTCTCGCTTGTCATTCCACCGATAGAAGTAGAAGGACTCTGCGGCCACTGATTGATAACATGATGCCTCTCAGGCTTGAACAATTGTCAATACAAGGGCAAAGTGTGGAGGAAAAGGTAACTTACATTGTTCGCTGAGGCCCACGCAACACCTGAGTAGGTCGTACCGAAATCCACAGCCACAACGATTTTATTTCCAATAGAGGTATCTCCCATGTCGCACGTAATAGAGCCCTGCTTTCAATGGATATGCAGTAGAAGTAAGTATGTCGAAGTGCAGTAAAGTGTCTCTCCTTCCAGTAGTTGCTTAATGAGGTCAGGGTGAGCTGTAAGCCAGCCAATTTGAAATACCCACCAGTGGAGGTGAAGAGTAGTGGGATGGACAGAGGAGCTAATATAAAGCTGCTATGTGTGTTACTAGTAGCCAAATGAAGTGAACAAGGGCATAGTGGTTGTGGTCAAACACAACATAGATTGCAGTAAGACCAAAACAACACTCATTTCCTGCTCTGATCACTCTCTCATCTCATGAAACAATTACTAGTGAGAATAGTTCATTCACTGCATTGCTTCACGTCGACATAGTCATCCCTCATCAAGCACTGAGAATATCAAGACTTTCCATTCTAATCTCAAGCATTCCGCTTCGTCTTGGTTGTTACTTCCCTTCCTTGTCCCTCGACTCCTTGTCCCTCGACTCCTTGTCGTTGTGACAGAGCACATGGATGCAAATAGTTCCTCGATCACCAAAAGTTGCAGTGTATGTATACCTCTCGGTCGCAAGGTCTTTCTCCAGGAGTCTGAGGTAATAAACCGTCCTTTAGGATCAAAATAATTCTTTAGCCGGCAATGTACCGGCAACCACCACCTCTTGGCGAGACTCGAACCAAAACAAATACCCGGCACGAAGGGCTTTGAATAGATTGAAACAAAATGCAGCCTCCTTCCATGAGGATGTGAACTTGGTTAGCCAACGCATCTCGCAGCAAGCTTACGAGATTGAGCAGATGGGACAGCAATTGGAAACCGCACAACAACGCATCCAGAAGTTGGAGGTCGAGCTTCAAACTCGAATATTTAGATCTATGCCTGACTATCAACTCAGTGATGCCACTGTTTCCGAGGATTTCCTGGTAATCCGCGATAGCCTCAGCGAGTGGGTGGAAGGGTTTCCTGATATCAAGTCTTTCCACGAAACTTTTAATGATGCCGTCCGTCGCCGAGGTATGGATGAAAACATGCTTACCTTTCACAGCCAGTTTCAATTAAATCTCGATCACGCACAAAATGAGATATTGACATGGATTAGCTTCTGTGTTATTCGAAAATATATACTCGAACCTAGAGTATTCGCCGCACCACCAGCGGATCAAGAACTCATGGAACACCTTCATGAAGGGATGTCGATGCTGGAACCGAAAAAAGGTTGGCGCACCCTCAATTATTGAATACAGGCGGTTGCTTATCTTTGTAGATATTGAAAGTATCAATCTCTGGCGGTCAAATACAGTGAGGGCTTACACTGCAACTCAACGTCACAAGGATAGAGCTATTCAACACTGCACTGGCTTGGCCGAGTATTTGCGTGGTTTTTTCAGTTGCTTCAGCTTTGAGGAAACATTTGATTGGGACCAAAAGTTTAGAAGACTCGGACAACAGGTATTACCACAAATTGCAGCTCTTGCGCTGAAATTGAACTGTTCGCCGGAACAATACAAGTGGGGACGATTTCGAGAGGCCCTACCTCTAATTATCAACAAGGGTTATTTGAGTCATTTCACAATCATGGATGCCCATACTCACCACACGATTAACCCTCAGGCTGCGAGGTTTGCGAGTATGCAGGATGATGCACCTATTGGTGTGTTCCTTCTGGTTTTATTTCCGGCCTTGTTTCGCTTGGACCCCAGGGCGCAAAATTATATTCCGATCCAAAGGGCAGTATTTGTGATCCAAGGATATGAGAGTTTGCCTCCAAACTTGAAAGCAGAGGTTGATTCACTGGCAACAGAAGGGTAATATGCAATTCCGATTTTGTGCCTTCGCGTTTCAAGTAGGAATTTGGATGGGGGTTCAAGGACAGCATGAGAAAGTTTTCACATCCATGGGCAATTGCTTCATTATTTTCCTTACTTGTTTGTTATGTTACCGCAGAACCAAGATGCGGTACCCAGTAAAAGATCGGCTTAGACAAGCCATGAAGTATATGTATACTCCTAGCGGCTTGCGTAGCTGGTGTACTCCCATAGAGCTGCGCATGCCCTATGGGTATGAATCACTTGCTTCACCAGAAGCTGAAGGAATTCAGTCTGGCCAAAATCGTAAAATATACTCCTTGAATGCTATGTCTACAACATGACGAAGAAAGCCATAAAATGATGTCTAGTATGTCTTCATTGCGCCGTTATACCCTATACACCTCAGACCCTAAATGGTATCATATACTAGACCCAGAAAGTCACACCTGTATAATAAAGAAAATGAGAAAAAGAGAATAGCAAGATTCAGGATCTAGGCGGGCTTTTTCAATGCTGACGGCAATCCCATCATTACTCTATGGCCCTCCTCGCGGACGCCTTTCGCTTCATCATTCTTTCCCTGCCTCTCCAAAGTTTCTGCGAGCATCTCGTCCGTGACACTGACCCAAAGTCGATCGTTGGCTTTCTTTGCCATTGCACGACCTGCTCGCGCGCTCTTTTCGGCCTGTTCACCGACAACCCCACGGAAATACTTCCAACTCATGAACGTTAGGGTCATGCAAGTAATCTGACTATTGCTGATTGCTGTGGCTGACTGCAGAGCTTGCTGAAGAAACTGCTTGGTCTGTATGGTCGATTCGGTCTGTACAGTAGCGCATACAAGATAGTAAGCTGCTTGGATATATTTGTTGGGGCTACCCTTGCAAAACGATTCAACGGTTGCCAGAATGTTGGGGAGCTGAAAGTGTGATGCATGGGTTGGATCACGTAGTATGAGAACGGTGTTGAGAGCTGCAAGAAGTGCAATGTCACGCCGGGGGTCATTGCGGGCTGTTTTGCTCGTCGATGGAGATAACGAAAGAAGAGGGGATTGAAAAACATCGAGGGCAGCATTCAGATCGCCAGTTGCTTGTGCAATGGTACCCGCAGCGTACTCCATCAGACATTGGACAGTATCAGGTAGACACTCGCCAAGCTCTTGGACTTCTTGTCGGAGGTCCCTCAGCGTTTTGCTGGCAAGGTCCCAGTCTGTGCGGCCACAGGCAAGGAAAACTTGTTGAAGGAGGAGGTTGCAGTACAGCGTCCTGCGCCATTCTACCCGCCTATTCGCATTGACCATTGACTCGGTGATGTCTTGTGGCGATTTGAAGCTCCCTGGACGATAAAGTTAGCGTTAAAATAACCAAGGTTGATGTGGTGCTTACCCTGTATCATGCGTATCCCCTCCTGGAGGAACTTCTCGGCTTTACGGCCATCGTACGAGTTCTTGCAGCTGAGTGTGATTGAACTTAAGAAATAGCAAAGCGCGTAAAGATCATGCTGGGGTAGCCAATTAAAGCTCAAGAGCAACGTGCCATTCTGGACCTGAAGAATGTCCCCCGTGTCTATTGACGATGGTCCTGCCGATTTGCCGCTTAAAGGTATGGAGAACGATCCATCGGCACGCCAGTTGGGGTCATTCAATCGCTCGTCCATCAAGTCTTGTAAGTTCTTCAGCTTCTGTGACGATTGATTGATGTCATATTCAAGAAGGCTGCAACAAATATCGACCATTTGCACCAGTGTCGTCAGCTGCGGTATATGACGAAGCTCATCATTCAGCTGATGGCTCCGAGCTACCGCCAGGGCGCGCTGAGCCTGTTCAATGGAGTCGTATCCGGATCCGTGTTGGAGGTGTGCAAGGGCCTCGATGACGGCCGACATGGCCGAAACAGCCTTATCGCCATTGCGGTTGGCCATATTAGCGATCTTGTGGAGATGTTGCAGAGCTGCAACGGAGTCCTGGTGGGCTGAGGAAGACAGCGAGAGGGATACTCGAAGGAAACGAAATGCATACTCCCAGGCAGAGTGGCGATATCTACGCTAGTCAGCTTATGACCTGTGCACCGCGAGTTTGAAAGTCACTCACGCTTCTACATCCTGGATCATCCCATCCACAGCTTTCATTGAGGCCTTAGGGTTTGTCTTGTGGAGCATCCGTGCCAAAAGATGTTGCATGCTGTATTTCAAGTCCAGCATACGGTTCTGCGATATTGTAAGTAACCAGGGACACAGAGTTGAACGCAAAGTAACTCACCCGCTCGCACAAGTCAATCTATCAGTAGAATGTTAGCAGTGTGGCTTGATAGTGATATCATGGTTGTTAGACATACGCCTTTGCTCAATGCGGTCTCCGCTTCGAGATCGTTGTCCGTCTCCTCGAACAGAATGCGCGCATACCTTAATCGCACAAGCGCTTCGACTCGAGGTTGCAATCTCCAGTTCTAACAAGATTTAAAGAAAGCGGTTAGTCGGAAGTAGGTAAGATCGATATTAGCGAAGCAAATTTCACACCAACCTTCAACACCGCTTCTAAGCAACCAAGACCTGTTGCGACCAACTTATAGTATTCTTCCACTTCCAATTCCTGTTTCAGCAAAGCGACCATGGTTCCGTTACTATGGGCCGTATTGAGGTATTCATCTGCCATCGCCAGGAGCAGGACCTGGTAGTCGATGGGTGGCTTTGCTGGTTTTTGGGGGCCCATTTGGCCAGCTTGTCGCTGCGCTTGCTTCTTGGCCGGCGGCCGTTGTAGTTTCTGCTGTATTTCCGGGGAAGGAGCTGGGACCAATACTTGGGGGACAGGTCTGGGTGATAGTGCCGGGGGAGTTGCGGTAACAGGTGGGGGTCGAATAGTTGGGGGATTTGGTGCAATCGCGGCGGTAGTCTTGGGCATCGTCTTTGGTGTAACCTTTGGTGTGGGTTTCGGCGTAGGCTTCGGAGTAGGTTTCGGTGTTGTACTTGGTGTAGCATTTGGTGTGGCCTGTGGGAGCTTGCTATAAACCTGGTTCCCTTGGTTTGGGCCGGCAGCTGTGTAGTACGTTGGTTGCGTTGCGGCGGGGGTAGTGAGTGCAGCGGAGAGGCTACTGGCTGCGGCGGTAGACACCGCAGGTTGTCCACCATATTGAGATGGCCTCTGGGTAAATTGGGAGGGTGATATCGAAGGGAGGGGTGGTGTGTTGAACAAGTCGGATGGGTTTACATATTGCTGTTGCGGCGGTTGCGGTTGCGGTTGTGGTTGCGGCGGCGGCAGTTGAGGTTGAGGTTGAGACTGAGGTTGAGATTGAGGTTGTGGTTGTGGTTGTGGTTGTGGTTGTGGTTGTGGCTGTTGATTATACGTGTGTGTGTAGGCGGGATACGCCGGGATCATGACCTGAGGATAAATGACCGGCTTGCCATATTGATATGGCGAAACGTTCGGTTGGGCATTATTGTACAGTAGCTGCTGCGGCTGGATGGTCTGCTGGGGTTGAATAGGAGGCTGCTGCAGGTACTGTGAAGGATATTGTCCGTTATGAGGTGGTGGTGGTGGATAGCTCATCGCCCCAGGACGCAGATAATGCTTCGTGGTGATCGCTGCACTCTGCTTTTCCTGGAGTCTATGCTTTCGTTCATTTAGAAGTAGAAGTTGATGATATCCTTTGGGGGGCGTTTGATCGCGATATTACTAGTAAATCCGCTTTTCCCTTTTGAGGTCGGCTTCGGAGAAACCCCCAAGGCGGTCAGTTTAGAGACAAAGACTTGAAGCCCTAGTCTCTCGGATATCCGATACAAACATCCATCGTCCTTCTCTATTAGCCCATTTCATAGACAACTGTCTGTGGACGATAGACGCTCGTTGGTTTCGTATCTACCCTAGCTGAATAGGGCATAAATTACCCTCTATCTTGGATCAGCTCTTACATATATTCACCCCAGAAGTTCAAAGTATATTTCTAGACCTCTAGTATACTACTAGTATTTATAAAGAGTTAAACCAATAAGAAGTAATTACACGTCAAAGACAACGACGCAAACAAAGAAAAGAAAATGTTGGGTCATATAACACCGCCAAATCTCAAAATAGCGCCTTTATACAAAACCTAAACCATTCCTTTCGCTAGACATGATCCACCCAACCTTCCTCTCCTCGCGTTCCATACACTCAAATCCTATTAATCGATGTGTATAATTGATTCATTGACTGGCTCTGCATACCAGGTTCTAGAATGTCCATCTCGAGAGATGGGGGGTCGTTGAGAGGATGTTCGCGGATGGTCCAAGGACATAACTCGCTGCAGTTGTCCACATCGATCGTATTCTCTGCCGGATGGATTCTCTGCAGGGCCCATGCTTGGTCCGGGATAGGGGATGTCCCCCCAAGAGATCTCTCAGTCCAAAAGAAATATGTGGCTTTTCCGGAGTTCTCGTCAATATGACAAGGTTGTTTGCGAGGGCATTTCAACGAGGAATTACAGGAGTTGCAAACGGATATTCGCTGACAGGAAGCGCAGGAACTGTCATACAGCCGGCAAATAGTGGTTTGGCAAACGCTGGAGAGCCAGAGATCAACTGATCGGTGTGCGCATCCAAAGCGAGGTGTGATAAACTCTTCCTTCCCTAGCTGCCCTGACCCCGTTGATAATTGATACTCCGTTTTTATCTTCAACTGGCCATTCTCGTCTAACTCTGGAAATAATTCAATCTTCAATTGTGTAGAGCCATAATTTTCGGTGCAGGTATGCCAGCAGAAACGTTCCTGGATGCCTGTCCCAAATTGTGCAGTCAAGGCTGTTATCGATTTCTGTCGCATCAGCAGGAGTTCGACGAGGTCCATTTTATCTCGAAATGTTAGCTTCTTGCATGGACACAGGTCGACTATGCCTGCGAGATTTCCTAGCTCGCAAGTCCGCTCCTCGGGTTTTCGTTTGAGTTCTCGTGAGGAGAACAAAGTTCGTGGATGTAGCTTCAAGCATTTCGAGCAAGCTCGCCATGTATTGTTTTCTAACACTTTAACGAATTGCCACCGGCTAGTAACGAAGTTGTGCCCATTTCGGTAATGATGGAAAAGTGGTGCGAAATCCCGATTGAAATGCAATGATTTGGAGTCCAGGATTGCACCGGATATTGCAAACAGACGTCTAGACGTCAATGCCAGAGAGGCTTCTGCCAGCACAGGTAGATGAGAAACGATCTCTAGCAGTAGCTCAGTGGGTAATTCGAGGAGGTAACACCGCTTCCTGGAGTCGGGATTTGACCTGACTGGACTTCGTGACCAGAGATGCATCTTTGTGAGAGTTTTTAATCTTTTTCCAGCACGACGAAGACCATCTGCCATATCGGTGGAAAACGGTGAATCTTGACCATAGGCTGTACCGAGAACTAGGGCCTTCCTGAGTTGTTCTCGGATTTTTGAGGTTTTTGTATGGGGGTATGTATCTAGGAATTGACAGAGACTCATAGGTGAGAGGGAAGCCAAATCGTTTCTTGCTGTAGCTGGAGTCTCATGGCGTATAATAAGAGGACTGGGAGCGTACCGTGTGATAAAAAGGCGACTCTACGAGAAAGAGAAAGAGGAAGAGAGAGAGAGAGTATGTGTGTGCAGAAGGAAGGACCCTTGACCTTGAAGTAGCCCACACGAATGCTCTCGGTTTCGCACGCAAACGGCGCACGCGGCAGGGTCACAGTGTAATGGCTGTTATAAGAATTACATACCGATTCGGTATTGACTGATCTAGTGTAAGTAAAGGAAGTTCAACAGGAGAGCCTGCTGACTGGTACTGTATCAAAATTCCTGCCAGAGAAAATTTTAGAAAGTGGGTGCTAAAGTTGAAGAGGTCTATGATGCTATGTTCCATTCTATAGTTGGCTTCCGCATCCGGCATCAGGCTGGTAACCGCAAAAACTGCACACATCTCTCGATTCCTAACCTCAAGAATGCCCTTAATTGCAGCCAGGGGATTTGAACTGAAGAGTGCTTGCAACCCAGCTAGCCTGACCAGGAAAGAGACACAAACGCCGCCATAACTCTTGTCAACTGACAATCCTTTTGGGAGCCTCGTGATGTCCATGAGGACCATGACGTACATCACGCGCTGAGTCATCGGGAGGCTGACTGATCAACATCGGACTATACCCGAGAAGGCATAGCATGGTCACTAGCAGCGAGATAAGGTGCTTATGTCATGCATTCCCCTATCGGGCAATGATGCCGAGGCACATGAATCCCGGCGCAAAAGAACTTGTTGGGAATAAATATAATTAGAACAATTATTGGAAGGGCTCCGACATCTAATTAATTTTTCATTTTTTTTTTTTTCGTTTTCTTCTTCTTCTTTTCTTTCTCTCCGTTTCCCACTGATATCAATTATCTACAAGGGTGGTCGGGTTATGATAAATCTCCTTACCCTGAGCCCGTATGGCATCTGCTGAGACCTCCGCTACTACTCTCTTGACCTCCTTTTCGGTGCCAATTCTACTGTCAGGGTTGCTCGTAATGGGCATGCTATCATGGTTGCGTCCGAGTGGCCGTGTTTCATTCTTCCACTCAAAAGACAATAACTTAATTCTGAAGAAAGTCGGGAAAGGAACTAAACAACAGATTACATTGACGGATCTTTGTCGTACCGCCACACCAGAGACATGTCAGCTCAACCCGTTTTTATTCAACGGTCATCTCCAGACGGCCTGGACCACGGCGAAATTTGATGACGTTCCTGTATACTATAAGCGCTGGATGTTTGAAGCCGATAACCCGATGTTCAGCGGGCATTTTGCGGTGGATTTCGTCGTCGATCCATTCGAAACTCCCAAAGATAGTCAACTGACGGATCAGGAGAGAAAATACACGCAACCATCGGGTTTGCCGGAAAGGACAGCGTTCTTCGCGGCAGATGAATTCGAAGCGCTTCCTTCAGATGATACGAAACCCATGCTTGTTGTTCTCCATGGTCTGAGTGGTGGTTCACACGAGATTTACCTGCGCCATGTCGTGGCACCTCTCATTGCTGACGGAGGATGGGAAGCGTGTGTTATCAATTCTAGGGGATGTGCTCAAACCAAGATAACCAGCGGCGTGCTGTATAATGCCCGTGCCACGTGGGATGTCCGTCAAGCTGTCAAGTGGCTCCGGAAGACCTTCCCGAACCGGCCATTGTTTGGGATCGGGTTCTCCCTCGGCGCAAATATCCTCACCAATGTAAGTCATCTCTGGCGTAGCTTGCCGGCTGTATCCTGATGGATTGGACTCGTATAGTATTTGGGCGAAGAAGGTGAAGCTTGCCAGTTGAAAGCCGCGGTACTTTGCGCAAGCCCTTGGAACCTAGAAGTAAGCTCCGTGAGTTTGCAAAGCAGCTGGATAGGACTCGAGGTCTACAGCAAGGTGATGGGATCAAACATGAAACGACTTTTTGAACAGTAGGCCGTCCTTCGTATACCCGGATTTTCTGCTGGTCGACTAACAGCCAACGTCATTAGCCACGTAGAGGAGGTCTCCAAGAATCCTCGAGTTGATATTGATGCAGTTCGGAGTACTAAATACTTGCATGAGTTTGACCGGTGAGCGGCCCCGCTATGTGATATTATCTTGAGGTGGTTCCTGACCTCTCCATTCGTATTAGGGCTTTGCAATGTGCGTCATGGGGTTACCCAACAGAGGGTGCCTACTATCGTGATGCTTCATCCGTTGATTCGCTGCTTGCTATTAAGATACCCTTTTTTGCTGTGCAAGCTGAAGATGACCCCGTGAGTTTGACACGCTGGATTTGACTACTCTCATGCGCTGACGAGCAACAGATTGCTACTGTCAAAGCACTTCCTTTCCAGGAAATTGGGCAAACCCCTTATGGTGTTATGATGACGACGTCCTGGGGTGGGCATCTTGGCTGGTTTGAACTTGGAGGCAGTAGATGGTTTGTGAAGCCAGTAAGTTGTTGCCTACCATTACTGCTGCTCTTCCACGCCTAACACGTTGAACAGGTGACCAATTTCTTAAACCTCATGGCCAAGGAAGTCGACCTTGAAACCCCATTCTTGGTCGAGAACCCTGAGAAGGCTCCAGGCCACGTTGCCAACCATACTAGCAATCTCGATGTAACACCAAAACCGGAGTTCAATCCCATACGTCGCAAACTGGAATTTCCGTCTGCAATTTTGAACTAAGCTTAGGAAGCAATCGTTCAATCGCAGCTTATAATGACCGAAGCCGTCGCTCAGTGGTGTGAGTTAATGAAGCAAGAAGATTGTCATGAGTTGCCATTCATGTCAAAACATAGACCGGTGGAAACGCCAAACCCCATCTAGATACATAGACTTGGTATAGACAGAAATACTTTTGTACAGAAAATCTCAAGCAAATGAAACACTTTTCCTCTTCCCTTTAGACTTCGAGGATGACCCATTGGTACGAGCTGCTGTGGTATCAGTTTTTGTGTCTTCGTTGCTATCACCCTTGCGCTTGCGCTTTTGACGAATCGCTGCCTTAGTATCCTCCTGTTTGCCGATCTTCGTTAGTATCTTATAGCCTCATTGGGGAAGAAAACACATCTTCGGAGCAATATAACGCACCAATTTATTCTTCTTCTCTGCCTGCCTAGCCTCGGCTTCCTTTCTCTTCGCTTCTCGGATCTCCTCTAGCTGACGGGCCTTCTGCAACTTGGACTCAATCTGCCCTTCCTTCTCGGCATTGACCATAGCAAGAATGGTAGCCATTCCCTCCTGCGAAAGCGCATTAGTAACGAGGTATACTGGCGAGGAACCATACCACCCATAGACATACCTGGTCGTCAACAAAAACCTTTCCCTTCTTCTTCCCTTTAGGCTTCACCACCCCGACAGGCGTGATTGCATTCAACTTCGGCAGGTCCAATTCCTCCTCCGTATACTCTCTCTTCTTCGTCTTCTTCAGCTGACTGGCTTCGGTACGCGCCTTCGACTTAACTTCCTTTGGCGGCGGGCGCTTGACGGCTTTCTTGCTCACTTTTGATGCCGAGGAAAGAGGCTTGCTCTTATTCGAGTCTTTGCCCGAGGACTTGGCCGAGCCCGGTTTTGCTGCCATTTTCTTTTTTGATTTTCAGGAGTATCTATGAGGTTATCGCATGCACGTGGGGATTCAAAAAGAGACTCGGCGATGAAGAAAGACTCTCAACCAAGTCACGCCACAAGCGAGATAGGACGATGAATTGAACAACGTTGGATCGACAACAATAGGACTAAACTACCCCAGCAGTGATATAAGACTCAACAGTCCAATGGGAAAAGCCAAAAAGGAAGAAAAAACGAAACGAAAGAATGCAAGACCAGCGCCCGTTTCGCAAAGAGAGAACGGCGCAGAAATTTTTTGAAACAGGCAGGCGGTGAAAGGATCCCGCCGAGAGCATTGATCCGACCTCCACCATCCCATCTCATCGTCACGCTAACCCAAGCCCGAAAGGAACGTCGACCCTCTTTCCCAGCGTCTCTCCCCTCCCCCCCTCCCAGTGTGCCATTGTCGAGTGCCCGGCTTGGGGTTGCAGACTCACCTATTTTCAAAATGACCATCAATCCCACCTATCTCGCGCAGCGCACGCGCTCCTGTACGTCTACTTTACTCCCAGCAGACCGAGCCGGTCCGACCTTTAGAAATTGCCGCGATGTCAATGGACGAAAATGCAAAGCTAACCATCTCGCCTCCAACAGCTGTCAACTGGACCGACGCCAGGGCCCGTGTCCTCAAGTCCTACAGAGAATGGCTTAGAGCGGTCAGTGAACCCCAATTCTTGTCCTTGCTGGTGTTCTGGCGTGGGTAGTCGTGGAGGGTTCCCGACGTTCGATATCACAGATGAACCTAGTCGCTCGACCTAAGATCGTACCGCATCATTATCCCCAAGTGCGAAAAAAAACTAACATGGAACCCATTAAACCGAACAGTCCCCCGAGATCCAGACCATGTACTCCCTGAACATGCCCGTTTCCGCCATCCGCACCAAGGTCCGCCAGGAGTTCGAGAAGCACCGCTACGTGAAGCAACTCGGTGCTGTCGATGTCCTGCTGTTCCAGAGCCACTCTGAGTTCCAGGTTAGTTCAAGTTTGGTCTTTGCCGAGATGTGGTGGTTCCGAGTGCACAGTTGCGCTTGGCCCGTTGCAATCATGATATTTCCAATGGGCACCAAGTATACTGATGCTTCTTTCTACGCTTTAGGAAACTCTTAACTACTGGAAGCAGCTTTCTCATGTGATGAAGTACTTCCGTCCAGAGGAAGACCCCGGTGCCCGCCTACCTCCTAACTTCATCTCGGGCTTCTTGGAAGGCCGCAATTGATTTGAACTGTTCTTGAGTACCTTTGCATTGAAATTTCTACCTTGGTTCGGGGGTTGCACCGATAGAGTGTTATGTAAATATTGTCTGAGTAGCTAACGTCGGATTTGTCAAGTTCACCGGTCTCTAATAGATGTAGTGTAGGTGTGGCCAAGTTAGGTGCGAAAGCACCCATAATCAATCTCACAAGCTCCGATAACCTAACAAATCTGAGAAGATACATGTCGGCAACATTGGACTCTACTAGCTAAGGTCCACCCCTTTACAGCTATCCGGAATTTGTATGTACCATGTTATCCAAAAAGCCCTACGCTGTGTGAATCATAAGAATGTCACCGAACCCATATGTTCTTGATACATAGCGTATGGTATCAATAGTCTATAATAACAATGGCTGAGTTGCTGCAAGGGCATAAATAATGCTTAACCCAACGGCAAAACTTTTATCTAAGTGTACACAACGCCATACAAACACCCCAAACCGGATAAATCAGAGTAAATGCACGTTAGAAAATGTTTAAAAGTTTCAAGAGCTCATCTTATCAGCCTGAGAGGCATTGAAGGCATCACGAGAGGCGGTGAACTTGTCCGTAACAACATCACACAAATCCATCAGGGAATCCAAGCCCTTCTCCAGTGCTTCCACTGCGTTCGTTGTGTCTGGATTCCAAGGTTAGCTTTGTCGAGAAGAGACAAGCAAGGCAGCAATCCACGAACGAGGACAGTCAAACATACCATAAGTCTGAATACGCAGGTTCATCTTGGTCTCCGAAGGATGGGGAATAGTATATCCACAGAATTCAACTTGAGGACTATTCCAAGTTGTCAGCCATCCCATATATAAAAACCGGCACAACAGCCAAAGACAACGTCAACGGCAGAAATAATGAACAGTAGTACATACTTCTTCATGATGGCATATCGTAGCGCATTACCCAATGTATGACCCTCGCCGTCAAACTGGAAAGAGGCTGCTGTCTCGGTAGCTCCGGGAAGCTGTCATTTTATGAATTAGCAATGGACATCTTCACTTTCTTTAGGCGAAATTCAAGTGTCGAGAGAGACGAACGACAGTGATCCGCTTTTCCTCCAACACTTCTTCTTGCTCGACCTGCTGCTCTTGTTCTTGAGGTGCCGCGGCGGTGGCGTCCATCATGGACTGGTCCTGGTCTTGGGAGTGCACGGAGGCAGGCATGGCGGATATCGTACGTAGGGTTGCACGGGCGGAGGAGAGCAGTGACACTCGAGAAGAAGTTGTGAGGTCAACTTCGGATTTGCTGGCGACAAGGTAGAATGGGATTTCTTGGAACGAGATGCTCAGGTAATTGCGTTGAGCACGGTACCGGGTAGGGGGTTGTAATGCACGTTCTCAGGAAGTGGCAGGATTTTGAAATGGCCTTTTTGCTCCTCTCTAAATCTCTTGCGGTATATTCTTGGTCGCGGTCCCTCAATTGTGAAGCTATCAGAATTGACGCCGAGCCCGTCGCAAAGCGGGAAAAAAAGCGAAAAACGGTTATCGATAGAGGGGTTGACCGCCTTCCGGGTCGGAGGTTTTTTATTCTTGGCAAAATCATTCTTAAGAGATTCCACAACGAACATGAATGGATTTCCGTTCAAAAGGTTTACTGTGAAAAATGTCAGCTGAGTTGTAGAAAGCAGTCCGACGTTGCCGCACTCGCAGATTCCCCCAAAACTGTAGTGTGCTTGCTATTGGAATCCTTCATGGAGGGATATCGTCTCTGCCGCCATAGTCTACAGTTTAGTGGTTATTTGTCTGTTGCATACAGGTAGGTTACTCAGAACCGAGTGTACGATGCGAAAACCCTCCTTGGCAGTCTGGTTAAGTCTCAGCTACCAGATACAGACGCCTATTTGGGGTAGAACGACGTGCCGCTGCTTGTGGCATCTTGAAGCTATAGCGGCTCAGCGATCTTTCACAATTACTTGAAGTACTACGGACTAAGGAGGCCCTTACATGATCAGACCCAAGAGTTCATTGTAATAGTAGGACTCAGGTCGAACTCTAAACCCGGGAGAGAATCACGATGTCGATAGACGCCCCGATCTACGCATAATTTCCCAGCCACCCTTAAAGGGTCGTGGTATATGTCCTCCAGAGCCGTCGCCCGCGGTCAAGGTCCGTGATATAGCATTCAGGATTCATATGGGCGGTTCTTTGTCACCATGGGTCGGGGAATATTACAATTTCCTAAATAGGTACTACTTACTGTTCGTACCCTAAAAATAGCCCAGATCGTCCATAAAGAATCGGTCGAAATGAAACTTTTGAGGACCTCATTTCTTAGGTACATGTGGATGGAGTACGCAATATCGAACCACTCGTTGGAAAGCTCACCCAGCGATACTCAGTAAGCTCTTCCATAAACTTCGGTTGAGGAAATAATCCGAAACGTTGAGATTAAAATAAGACATACCAAACGGGTGATGTACTCCGTAAGGAGTTATCCCATATAGCATAAAAGGAGGAGGGAGATGGTGGATAGACATCTAATTCTAGGCAGCTCCCACGAACCTAGAAGTTTATTGCGATCGACCGAGGGCCATCTCGCTTGACGCAAAGACCACCTCCAAGTCCACATGGGAGATAATATTAACAACCGATGAACAGTCCGTGCAGAAACAAGATTGCCGTTTATATCTATCGCAAATCTCATGGAGTGCGTAATAGTATACGTAGGACGGAGTATCCTCCGAGGGATGAGGACGAACAAACTTCACTCAGTGATTCAGCTTCGGGGCCCATTCGTTCTCCTTGAACCTAGCCAAGTAATAAAATGAGTAAATTTAAATGAAATATCCGATAGATTTGTTGAGAGAGCAAATATCGGGCCGGTTGGCGAGGTTCCTGTAACAGAATTAAATTCTCCACGTCATTGCGATCTTTCAACTATTCACATGAATGTTCCAAGCCGACGTCAGATCAAGGGAAAGATAGTAGGTAGTATCCGGTATAGCATGTATGCAAGTGGCAGGATTTGTGTGTCGAGTCAACGTGTTCATGTCATGAACCTGGAACCATAGCAAGAGGGCCAAGTCAGAGTTGATCTGGACCCGACGGGCACATCCACGGAAGCTACTCCGGAGAGTGCTCTAGTAAAACAATAATTTCTGGAGACCCATAAACTAGTGGTTCGTGAAATGGCTGGCAGCTCGTTCCTTAAATCTAATTTGTAAGGAAGACACGTGGGTCCGCCAGCGTGACTTTTACTTTACGGCGAACTAGTTTCATAGCTCGAAAAAAAAAAAAAAAGAGGAATCAAAACCCCATCTTCAGAAGAATTTTAATATTATAGCAATAATTACACAATTAAATTGATCGCGTATGATCGTATTACTCTTTTTTAGGGCTTTGAGATGATTACTCAGAAAACCAAATCCACTGGCAGGAGAATTCCCCGGTGTCCCAATTTTTCTCCCCCCCGGGAACGCCATGATACCACATACGGCGGTAATCGTGCTCGAGATAAAGTACTATTAAGATAGGCGATCGGGTTTCCATCTTGAGAAATACACGATGCTGCCCCGTGGCACAGGGCCCATGTCAATACAGTTCGACCACAAGCTTGTGCATCTGCATGTACCTGTACCGAATAATGTTAGTTAAACAATTCATTGTACGGAGAACAACTCCTGCTGCTACATTAGGACTCCATAATCCATACTACATATGAACTCTGTGCCCTCCCCTCCCCCCAGTACAGCTCCTCGACTACTGCAAACTAACTTCTCGAATCCACCTTCTCGACAGGGTTTAACCCACGAGTCAGCAATTGGTGCTGCAACCAATGCAGGGATCCATGCGATTCTGGCTCCTTAGTTGAAGCGGTCTGTATTTACTTTTGCGGGAATAAGCTCTTATCGAGGAGGCACCACGAGGTAATATCTACCCAGCTATCATCTAGACCCTCCAAAAGACTCTCACTTTGTCTTTGCTTGGCGGTTTTTTCACCATGCATCGGCTAATATCGCTCCCTCGTGACTTGGATCGCTAAGGGATAAATGTCAGAGATAGATTTTCCCCATCGCTTTCGGCTCCAGAGTTGGGCTGATAAGGTAGTTTCACAGTGGAATAGTCCCATAGCTTACTGGGGCTGGGGGCAATGAAGTAGATACAGTAAGATCATATCGGTACCAGCCTTGAAATTCAATATGGTGGGGATATAGTAGTACTGTGATCAACCAAACCCTTCTTCATACTTTTAGGTTTAGGGAACTTTGACGGTGAAATGAGGGTTGAGCTAATTTCAAACAAGGTCTTGAGTAGATGACCGTTACCATGGAACAAAGCTGAATGGGGAAACAGAAAGACCAAAGGGAAAAAAAAAGAGAGAAAGAGAGAGATAAAGAAAAAAGCAAAACAAGGATAATCAATTAATAATGACAGCCCTGAATGTCTAACTAATCCAGATACTTTGCAGCCGCTCAGGCCCTTAACTAGACTCCCTGTCAAATCGAGGATAGGCAAGCCGATCCCATTGTAACCTTTGGGTAATGGAGACCAATACGGAGTGATCGGAGGTTAATCCAGGGACGATCATAGTCCATTTGTTGAGGATCTGAAGAGACATGTAAGTGATGACGAGGCAGGCCAGGTCATTGATGACTGGTATAGGAGAAGGCTGACGGAGCAGAAAAAAATTTTTTTTTTTCCTTCTGCCTAGGTAAATTGCTAAGACACTCCGGCATTGGATGCTACATAATAGATTGACCGATAAGTCTGGAGGAATGGAGCTGTATTGACTATTCTCATACTATCAATGTAACTGTTGACCCGTCTGGGCATGTCACAATGTGACGCCCGCAAGCCAGGACGCTCCACTTTCCGCGTGATAATCGGGAGACAAAGCAGATCGTGGGAACTGTTATTAATATAGCCAATGTTTGGTGGCACTGCGGTACTTTGTAACTCCAGACTGCCGGAAGATGTGCCGTCTTCCTGTCTTAGGTAGGTAATTATCTGTTGGCTGATCGGGGCCTAGTCCTGACAATACAAAGTTGAACCTTTTTCTTTCTCTCTCTCTCTTCCTCTCATGTCATTGAATTAGGTAGTGTTGGAGGTGAAGAAGATAAACCGGAAAATGTCAAACGCTATGGAACTGGACAAAAACAAAAGGTCAGAAGAACGTGGAAAAAATGTGACCCATCACATCTGTACGAAATAAAAGGAAATAGATGGCAGATGATATAGTTCCCGGGCTGTCAATATAAAGAAAGAAAAGAAAATCACTTCCAAGTCAGCTAAGTCGGCTCCCAGGTCCTGTGTGTACTACTAGTCGTAGTACTACCCACATACATACATACCCATGAGGAGTTGCAAGGGCCATGAGGGGAAGGGGCACAAAATTTCCTCGGAGATAAGTTACAACAGCTTTCATGGAACAGGAAGGGACTATTGTTTCCACCAGTTTGGCGCCAGTGGATAACAATCGGGTTGGTGAGGGACGCTTGTGTCGCAGATTCTTTGGGTGCTACTGGAGGCTAATAGTTCAAAGGGGGTGTTTGCTTGGTTTGACTTGGTTTCATTTTGTTCTGGTATTAAAGTTTGCTGTTATTATTACCTGACACAGAGGGAGAAAAATTTTGGAGTTGGGTCTGACTATAAGCCATGTCACACCTTATGTATTTATTTATTTGTTTGTTTGTTTGTTTACTTTAGTTTCTTGTGTGAAGGAAGGGGGAGGAGGAAATTTCAACCTTTGTTTCATAGGGGAGTTGTAACATCACTCATATCTAGGTGATCAAATTGGATCTTCTCAGATGTATCGAGACATTAATTGAGTACAGAAGGTATGGTCAGAACATCACGTTCTCTGACAATTTTAAGCGCCAGCAGTCCTGAATCACGACCTACAGGACGGGGTCGCAAGGGAAGAGCCCCTACATTAGCTGAAAGTAGCTTAGCGGGGAACATTGTCAGCTGGTTTATTATACATACATCGGAAAAAGCCTTTTTTTTTTTCCCTTTTTTGTTTTTTTCAGATTTTGTATTTTGGAAAATCCTTCGTTCCTTCGAACATCGTATATCACTTTTTCTTTGTTAATTCTATTTGATTTAGGAATGTTGACTGCCTTATTATCGGTGGAATATTGACTTAATGAAGAATGAATCACAATATATTGATATGGTCGCTGATTACTTACTTTACCCAGAGTAGTGCTACTGGTGGTACAAAC